TTTCATTTCCACGGCTAATAATGAAGGTAGAAGGGATTATTTGGAATTCCCTTTAAAACAAATAGCACACACCTGCAGAGTTTGCAACCCCCAAGTTGACAAATTGTGTTAGTACATAAGAATATGAAAGCAAGACAGACTAGTTCATTGGCACTGCCCACCGAGAGAGAAAAAGAAACAAAATTCTCAGCACAGAGAAAGGACAGTCGTGGTGAAGATTAGAGAACAGTGCACCAGTGTTACATTCCTGACTTTCTGAAGCAGTGAATCACCCTAATCTAAACACACTTCACTGATGTAAAACAGGGTTTATCAATTCCTTCAGTAGCTTGGGTATAACCCCATCTTTCCATGGTTACAGGGCTTCTCAATTAGTCTTACTGGTGGTGCAAATCTCTCTAAAGCAGACAGGAGCAGCGGTAGCTGTTCAAATAACTTAGCTTTGCCCTGTATTCAGACACTGTATAGTGATGAGTGCAGTATAAATGGCTAACAAGAGAAATTCCTAGATAAATGGTGAAAAGTAATTTGATTTCTTAGACAACCTTTCTATTAAACGGCCACTGTTCTTGTCTGCCATGGGATTTTCATCTTTCACACACACATGCATATATGTATACAAACAGATGGGTGTGCATTGTATTGTATTGCAAGGGTATTGGAAGGACTTCTGCAAAGTTCTGGAGTGGCTTAGGGGATAGGGTATTTGCCTGGGGAACACAGGGTGGTGGGCTTGATTCCCTTCTCTTCTCCCTCCCCCCCCCCATATACCCAGAGGATGGAGCTGGCTCCTGCATTAGGAAGGCAGAATAAGGGGCCCCTCTGAAGGCAGGAAGGTGGGGTGGGTTCTGGAGTCTCTTAAGGGATTTGCCTGGGGAGGACAGGCTGGTGGGTTCAAGTCCAGCCACACTGGGAGCAGCTGGAGGCTTGAACATCTTGCTCTTCAATGATCAGGGGGAGGGATAGCTCAGTAATTTGAGTATTGGCCTGCTCAACGCAGGGTTGTGAGCTCAATCCTTGAGGGGGGGCCATTTAGGGATCTGGGGTGAATCTATCAGGGATGGTACTTGGTCCTGCTGTGAGTGCAGGGGACTGGACTCAATGACCTCACAAGGTCCCCTCCAGTTCTATGAAATAGCTATATCCTTCAACTTTCACCAGCATCAGGCAGACCCATTTACAAGCAACCTGCTTCAATGAGACCTGCTGTGCATTTCTGGTACCTCTTTAGCTTTTGTGAATTGACTGAAAACATGCGACAGCGAGTGGATGCAACATTTATCAAAATTTTAAATAATCTTTGGGAGGAAAAACTCACAGGAGAACTAAATATTTTACTGCGTAAATGTGAGGAAAGCAAACAACAAGGGGGCTTTTCACCTGCAAAAGCTTTGAGAATCATACCAACTTGTAAAATGGTAGACAACCACAATAATCAAGTTTTGTCCAGTTTAGACAATGCAAACCTCCAAATGTTCACAATCACAGTGCAAGATGCCCTCACTGAGCAGAGAAGACGAGTGCCTAACCTTTATCAAGCTATCCCAACAAAGATCAATTGAATGGCAGGCATTACAAAAATAATTGGACATCTGGGCACTAAAGTTATGCTTCAGTACAATGTTGACCAAGCAAAAGGCTTAGTCAACGGCAAAATTGGCACCATCACCAATAAAATATGACCCTACTTCTGCCGCAATCAAATTCACAAAACCGATATTCCTAAAGTTGAAATTGAATTTGAAGGCGATGTCGGCAAGCACATCATTGAGCCAATCAGATGTCAATTTCAAGCGAATTTTGGATACGGCTTGGCGGAGTGGCGAATGTTTGCAATCATCCACGTTTCTGCTATGTCTGTCCACAAACTACAAAGGACCTCAGTGGATAGAGCAGTTGTGAACCTTGTCTCTCAATACTTTGCACCAGCTCAACCATTTGTTGCACTTAGTCGAGTACATTCTTTAGAAGGCGTAGAGATCAACAAAATCGATCCAAACAAATTAATGGGTGACGATGTTTGTCATAAAGCCGCCTTAGAAGAATTACAGCGTCTTCGAAGCCTTCCTCCTTTTCACCAACAGAAGAATTGATCAATCACCTCAATTACTTTATCCTTGCCTTCCACACAGCAACTATTTTTCATTATAAATGTAAATACCTAATGCAAAAAAAAGTTGTAAATAAGTCTGTAGTCTTTTAGTGAGCTTTTAGAAAGATTGTCTTTTTTAAAGTTTTTTATTTATTTTTTTTTTCTTACTGCTCTTTTCATAATCACCACTGCTATTGGGAATTTAGGTAATTTCATTTGTGTTTGAAGTTATTTATTATTATTGATGACAGCTTTTAAGATGATGGTGTCTCTTTAAACAGGTCAGAAATCTATAGCATGTCCATTGCTACTCTGGGAAAGGGGCCTAATGCAAGCATCAGAAAGGAATCCATTAAAACCTAATTACAATGATAAATCATAGAGGATGAGGTTTGGAAGAGACCTCAGGAGGTATCTCATCCAGTCCCCTGCTCAAAGCAGGACCAACCCTAACTCAATCATCCCAGCCAGGGCTTTGTCAAACGGAGACTTAAAAAGCCTCTCAAGATGGAGATTCCATCATCTCTCTAGGGAACCCATCCCAGTGCTTCACCATCCTCCTCATGAAGTAGTTTTTCCTAAGATTGAACCTAGACCCCTCCACACACTGCAACTTAAGACCATTGCTCCTTGTTCTGCCATCTGCTACAACTGAAAATAGCCTGACTCCCTCCTCTTTGGAACCTCTCTTCAGGTAGTTGAACCTGCTATCAAATCTCCTCTTATTCTTCTCTTCCGAAGACTAATAAGACAAGTTCCCTCAGCCTCTCCTCATGAGTCACGTGCTCCAGCCCCCTAATCATTTGTGTTGCCCTCCTCTGGACTCTCTCCAATTTGTCCTAATCCTTTCTGTAGTGGGGGGGCCCGGAATTGGACGCAATACTCCAGATGTGGCCTCACCAGTGCCCAATGGAACACAATAATCACCTCCGTCAGATCTACTGGCAAAGTTCCTACTAATGCAGCCCAATATGTCATAAGCCTTCTTGGCAACAAGGGCATACTATTGGCTCATACCCAGCTTCTTGTTCACTGGAATCCCCAGGTCCTTTTCTGAAGAACTGCTGCTTAGCCAGTCGGTCCCCAGCCTGTAACAGTGAAAGGTTCTTCCACCCTAAGTGCAGGACTCTGCACTTATCCGTGTTGGACTTCATCAGATTCTTTCAGCCCAATCCTCCATATTATCTAGGTCGCGCCCCTCCAGCCTCTCTCCCCAACTTAGAATCATCTGCAAGCTTGCAATCCATCCCATCATCCAGATCATTAAGTACCCAAGAGCCATTTAGTTCAAGATCTATTCTGTGTCTTTCCGTGTCATCAGCAGTGGCAAGTTGAAGCCATTCACACAACTAGAAATCACATTTTTAAAAAAGGGCCATGCACATGTTGATGTCGTTTGCAAGGTCCAGGTGTTGGAAGTACCTCATCACACACATACCACTCATGAGAGAAGAATGGGACATTGATTAGGGTCCTGACCTAGGACTTGTGAGACCAGCATTCAAGCCCTTACACTACTTCAGCCTTTTGTGGGACCTTGAGCAAGCCAGCTGGCCTTTCCACACTACAGATTCTCAGGCATACAACAGGGACAGCAGCACTGCCCTACCTGCCAGGAGAGTAGGGAATAATGATAATGGGGGCCAGATAAATACTTTTGATGATGGTCCTATTAGGGCCCCAGCCCCAAAGCCACGTATGCCTCTGTTTTACAGCAACAGGAAGAGGGCATATAGCTGGGGCTGTCCATGGCAGAGGGGGTTGCTGTCTGCTGGGTGCAGCTGTACTGTAGATTAATATGAAGTCCTTAGATGAAATCCTATCCTATTGAAGTCAATGGGAGTTTTGTCATAGTTTTGACTAGGGTCACAATTTCCCCCTTTGTCTCTTAATGATCAAACACTCTGCTGGCAAAAACTCTTCCCGTAAAGTAAAGGATTTTTCCTGTAACTTCAACAGGCATACATGTCTTTGTGCTGCTCTGGAGCACTCGCCCAGATGAAGTCCTTAGATGAAATCCTATCCTATTGAAGTCAATGGGAGTTTTGTCATAGTTTTGACTAGGGTCACAATTTCCCCCTTTGTCTCTTAATGATCAAACACTCTGCTGGCAAAAACTCTTCCCGTAAAGTAAAGGATTTTTCCTGTAACTTCAACAGGCATACATGTCTTTGTGCTGCTCTGGAGCACTCGCCCAGGGCGGTAATGGCACTGATCACTGCTGGCA